AATCAGATAGTTATATGCGCTAATAGCATAATATATAACATAAGATTAAATAACAGCAAGGAACCTTTGGCTCATCTTGGCTGTCCTATCCACAAAATCAAACTAAACCTTTAAAAACACCCTTTGTCACTTAAATATTTATTAACCTTTCCCTTAAACTCCATTAAGTTAAATACATCCATCACATCTGAAGGCAACCCTTTCCGAAGGCCAACCACCCTATTAGAAAAATAAGGGGGAATCATCATTAGCAGTGGCTGTAATTAGATCTTAAATCGGTCAAGAGATGGATCTATAAGCTAAAAGTTTGTACCTTAGAAAAATTCAGAACCATTCTATGAACTGCTGTGCCGTGTCTAATAAAGCTATCTTAGCTGAAGATTTGTGTCTCCTACTCTTACTATTCTCACCATTAAATGAAAAAAATATGATGTATCAACACTATCAACACCTTTAACAATCTTAAACACCTCAATCAGATCCCCCTAATTCTTCTTTTTTCAAGAGAAAACAATTTGAGACATTTCAATATCTCTCACATGACAACCCCTCCATCCCAAGTACCATTCTATTAACCATTCTCTGACCCCTTTCCTACAAGTCAATGTCGTTTCTGAGGTAAGGAGTCAAAGACTGAACACAATTCTCCCAATGAGGAGAATTCTAACCAATGACCCATACAATGACATTATAACTTGTAGTCAATATTTCTGTAGATACAACCTAAAATCCTATTTACCCTGCCACTAGCAACAAAACATTGCTTGGATGGATTAAGAGACTGATCAACAAGAACAACAAGATATTTTTCTTTCATAACACTGTTGAAGTTATTCCCATCGAAATTGTATTCATAATTCAAATTGCGATATCTTGCATGCATTACTTTAGATTTATTATTGTTATGTCTCTGTTCGTTTGTTAATTTTCCGTATAATTTCTTTCCAATGAAACTTCAGCGACACAAGTTCTTTCTTAAATAAAACTAGTTAATTCCCTCTCAATACAACTTTGTAATACATTAATTTCCACAGTCACTTTAATTTAAACACACACACACTATAATTCACAACGATTCACGCGCTTTACTACCGTGCTTGACTCAATTATCCGTCTCTGTCTGTCTGCAATTATCTATATATATATACCGTCACTTCTCGCCGGTCTTATATATACAAAATAGAGGGCGTCTGGAGAACACTCGAGGCTTCACGAACG